GGACGGCTTAGGTCCATCGGGACCGTCCGGGGGGGAGATATCGACTGCAATCCTGGGAACCCAGGATCGCCCGCCGTATCGCTGCGACGCCAGCTCCGCCCTCTTGACTTTCTTGACCCCCACCTCTGCAGGCACCCCTGAGTGACGTAAATGATAATGTAAAACCAGCCTTCTCCCTGGAGTGTTAATAATGAATTTTAACTGAAATATCTGGGACACTTCATGAGGAGGTGTGGTTGAAGACGACCCTGATGCAGAAAAGAGCGGGGCTGGATCTCCCCCAACGATGCAAGCCAGAATGGAGAAGGCGCCTGGAAGCCAGTCCTGGAGTCGGGAGGGTCATCCGACCAGGAGTCGGAAATGACGGGACGACTGAACAATGACCATCTCACCCAACGTTCAAAGATATGACTCCTTGGCTGATTGTAGCTTCACCGGATGAGCCCAGGGTTGTTTTGAGAGAGGAAGGGAAGGGAAATTCCCACCTGCTCTCTCTGCAGTGCGAGATGATGCACCTCGGGGTGGTCCCCCAGTCCCACCCCCCCTGCGCGTTGCAAGTTTTCTTCCAGGGAGGGTCTCCATGCTACGTTCGCTCATTTCTTCGTAGGGCCACCCCCTTTTAGGGAGAAAGCCAGTGTCAAGTTAGGGAAAGGCCCTTGGCCGGAGAAGGGGAAAGCGGATATTTATTTTTATTCATTTAAAAGTGGAAGCCAGTGTTCTTCAGGAAGAGGAATTCAAAATAGCAATCTTCCTCTTGGCTTTTTTCTTGAGCGATGGTGGCGAGGAAGGGAAGACATGCATCATCCTTAGCTGTTTTGCTGATTAAAAATGCCAGTTCCCCCATTATGTGCCTGATTAGTCTTATTTAATGTTTTTAAAAAAGGTCTCCCTTGATAGCCAAAAGGATGTGAATGTGACTGAGCTGATTTCTGCTGGGGAGAATCAAGACTGGTTGTGGAGTGAAGAGGTTGTGTGCTGCAGTTCCAAGATGTGAAATACCTACAGTGTGTGTGTGTGTGAGAGAGAGAGAGAGAGAGAGAGAGAGAGAGAATTATATATCTGCTCCTTTATCTGTAATGTGGTTTGTCTGGTTTTAGCTTAGTGCATGTGAAACCTACCACTGCAATTGGTAACCCATGGTTCATGGCTTTGCCTTGTGGCTTCTTAAAAAACCATAGCTCATGAAGGAATTAGTTGTGATTAAAAGTAGGCTTTGGCTCCTTAATGTCCAAGGAATGGCCATGGCCCCAAGTTCTTCCTCTCATCCTCTGTTGAGGATCACCAAAAGCTGGTAGTGGAGAATCCAGAGCCCTGATACTCTTTGTCCAGCTGTTTAGAAGGGGCAATGCCGGGCTGGGCTCTTCCACTGGGCTATGGATCCTCTCTTTGTGCTGATGGAAGGGGCTTGCAAAGGTGGTGTGACTACACCTCCCAGAATTGTAGGCAGTCTGGTCAGCAAAGGCTCAGGGAGGTGGCCACATCTAGTTGACCTTGGCTGATCTCAGAAGGGATTAATACTTGGCTAGGAGACCTGCAAGGAATCCCAAGATGGTAGAGGAGATTGAGAGGTAAAAGAGACTTTCTAGAAGAAGCACTAACTCTGTAGTGTTACGAAGGAAATGACCTGGGTGTGCCCATGAAGTCCCCAGGTCTTGGGAGCAACCCTTGGCTGGCCTTGGGTGATCACCAAAAGGCTAAGCAGAGTCAGACTTGGTGAACTCCTGAAGGTGAGAAGATGTGAGTTGTGGTTGCCAAGAAAACCCCAGGAACTGAGGTCAACTTGAAGGAGCCTTGGAAGGCCAGCAGATACTCTGGGAAGGTGTGCAGCCTTTTTGGAAATCCTGTGGGAACTGTGTGTGGGTTTGTTTACATCCTGGCCCCGCCTTGAGGGAGTGTCATTGTCAGAAAGAATAGGAGGGGGCGTGTTCATGTGAATCTCCAACTAACTTCAGCATGGTCTATTGAAATAACCCAGGTCCCTGGGTTTAACCGCTGACCTAGTCCCATTGCCTGGGTTCGCACAACTAATTGGGCCACAAATTAGAACAGCGTTTCTCAACCTTGGCAAATTTAAGATGCGTGGACTTCAACTCCCAGAATTCCCTAGCCAGCCATGTTATTCACTGCCCCCCACCCCCCCGCCCCCGTATCCTGGATGAAAATGGGCCCTTCGCTAAATCGGAGCCCCTTTATTTCTGCTCCCAACACCTCCAGACGCCTCTCGGCATCGCTGGAGACCCGAGCGAGCAGACGCTGATCACAGTCGCTTTACCGCCTTTGACCAGCCTAAGGTAGAAAAGTCAGCCCGACTACAGAAAATAAGAACAAACAATAAGATGCAGCACAAGTATACTAAGTAAAAAGGAAGTATTCAAATGAAAAAAAATTGAAATGAAATATAAAATGATAAATTACTGTACAATCAAAACAACGTTTTAACAACAGCTATACATACGGTATATAATTGAGTTTAGTCTCTATATGCTAATAGGAAGATGCTGATACTGAAGATTATTATTTCAATTTATATCCCTCCTTTGTTCTGTACAACTCAAGGCAGCCTCTCTCTCTCTCTCTCTCTCTCTCTCATCTCTCTATCATCTCTATCATCTCTCTCTCTCTCTCTCATCTATCTATCTATCTATCTATCTATCTATCTATCTATCTATCTATCTATCATTTATCTATCTCTATCTCTATCATCTTCTTTCTCCTTTTTCCCTCACAGCAACAATCCTGTGAGGTGGAGTAGGCTTAGAGTGACTGGCCCAAAGTGGAGCTTTGATTGCACCATCATGACCACTACCTTGACTTTTTTGACCAGCCTGCAGGCACCCCTAGCAACCCAACATCCTAGTCAGGAGTGGGGAAATGAGAGCGGTGCAAATATCTCTGTCGAACGGATGACGTGCCATGTCCCAGCCCAGCCGGCCTGCTTCTGCAGGGTCACAGGCGTTCAGCGAAGGGAAGAGAGCCGAGGAGAGGCCAAAGTGGGCCCATCCAAAGGCTTTGCTGAGAGTAGGATGTGGAGGCATGGATCTGGACCTTATACTTTGGGATAAGGGAGGATTCGGGGAGCTACTTAGACCAGCACCCTTGGAAGACCTGAAGGACCAGGCTGGGGACAGATCGTTGTGGAGAAATCTGTCTATGTGGTCGCTAAGAGTCAGCCCTGACTTGGTGGCACCTCACCAATCAAACTTAAACCAGACTGATGTTCTACACTAAGAAGGGGCTGGGCCTGGTCACATCCTGATAAGATGGGGTAAACCCGAATAGGGACAGTTTGATCCAGGAGGATGGTTTTAACCAGCCCTTCTCTGCGTCACCCCAAAGCCCTGACCTGGGTCCCTTTGCTGCGGGTGGGAAATGCCGCTCTCAGAGGGCCCCGCTGGAGTCACTGAGCTTCTTCTGGGGCAGCATAGAGGTGGCCATCAGGTGCAGGGCCTGGGCCCTGCTGGCTGAGGATCTGGGGTGCTGCAGTCCTTGTCCAAGTTGGGGGGCTTGATGCTTTTGAACTTCCTTGGGCTCCTGCTGAGCCCTGTTCTCTTCGTCCTTCCGGCCATCCCCCCAATTCCAGTGGCTTTGGGGCCATCATGCTGGGGGCGTTTGTGGCCTCAGTAGGACATTGTGATGCTATGAAGGGGCCTGGTCACCTGTAGCCTCCCACGGCATCCCTCGGGCAGGCCTGCATTTCCATCAGCCTGGCTGCTTAGCAACTTGTCTGGTGGCCTTTCTCAGTTCTGCAACAGCCGCTCTCTTCCCTGTCTGCCGACCAGTGTTCCTGGATTGGGTGACTTGCACTTGGTTGGATGACAATGCCATCCTGGGCCAGGCCCCAAAAAGTCAAGATGGTGCCCACGGTGGTGCCATCAAAGCTCCACTGGTTTTTTATGTGCAACTTGCAGGGTTCAGTTTCCTGGGTGGGAGATGAATTTCTTGCAAGTCCCCTGGGCAGACTCGTGGTTGGAGCCTGCCAGGCCCCCAGTCAGTATATAAAGAAGACTTGACTTCCTGCTCATCAGAGGAATT